TTCATGCACTCTACGACATACACGGAAGAGATGTGACTGAAGGATGGATGACTTGACAACTCCTTGTTTTGAACCATGAGCCACATTCTCCTAAAATCCTTTGTGAGTCCTTGTAAATTGTGTATGTTTATTAATTCTCCTCTAATGACTAGGAAACAGTACGCTTATTTCCATTTTCACAAATCCTCTGCTAGTCTTCTGGAAAAAAAATTCAACCTGCCATGAATTTAGTGCATTGGAAGTAAAGGGAATAAAGGAAAATAAAGGCAAGCAATTTTGGTTGGAGAGGTTTATATTAAATTTAGCAATATTGATTCCCTGGATGTGGCTAGAGGAGCGGGTGATTAAGCGCTTTGTTTCCTAATGAATTATTACGAATTTGAACATAATTTCAATAAACATACTTCAGTTATTGCAATAAATCTTTTCCCTTAAAATAACATTTGTGTATGTCATGTCATTTAATCTGTTGTGTTGCTTATAGGTAGGGAAGCTAATTTGTGCATAATAAATGTAAGCCTCATATATACTAATTCCTCTCACCCATGGGAGACATCAATAATCAATCACAGGAAACTTTCCCCAGACAGAGTTTTTGGACTTCAAGAGTCTCTTACTCATCAGTTGGTAACATCATTTAGGTTGAAGATTATTTTCGTCCTTGCTAGCAGAGCATGGCCAGAGTCCCTTTTAATTAACTATGCATACATAGAAAGGCCTTTAACCTGTGCTGTTGCCTTCATAGTTCTGTTAACACAGTGCAAAGCTTGAATTCATGTGAACATGTTCTCTACTCCCTGCAGTGCCAGTCACACACTGCTTGAGAAATCTGATTAATTCCTTTGTAATATGAATAACATCATCTCCCAGTTGATCCTCTTCCTCATCCCACACATAGTTAATCTGTTTTGCAAATGCAGGGATTTAAAAGAAAACATTTTTGGTTTTATTAAAACTCCATACACCTGTATTCCTTTTGAATGCCCTAGAGAAGGAGGAAGTTGGAAGACTTACACCTGGCTCATCATTAGGGTGCTCTGTCAGTCCTTTGCACTCGACTGGAGGCTGTGTGATTAATAGCCCTCTTTGCAATTATAGGGACATTATACTTGTCCTCCTTTGGCTGTCAATGGGAGATATCTATGTGTGTGATGCAAATTTGGGCTTTGTGATTGCTAGTTGCAAAACCAGCTAGGAGTGGATTGGCAGAAAACCTAACAATGAGGTAACAAGCATTTGCGGGTGGGGAATCTGTGAAAGACTGAGCTAGGATGCAGAAGAAATGGGAAAGATTTGCAATTAATCAAGAGCAATAACCTGGAGAGCAGCAGTTTACGGATGCAGATCTGAGCCAGATATCCTGGGCGGGAGGGCAGCTTCAAAGTCTGATACAAACAAGTGAGAGTTTAGCTGACCTTGCAGAAAGCAAGATCAGAACAAGAAACCAAGATCATGCCCCATACTACATAAAATATATTCTCATCACACTCCAAATTTGTCTGCCTGTATCAGTTTTGTACACTCAAGAGTCTTGCTCCATTTTTTTTTTTTTCACTGCGACACCCTCAAGTTTAGGCATTCAGATTTCTGTTTCTCCAGAAGCTCACTGAGAACAAGAATGCAGGATCTGTTGACCACACTGACAGAACTGAGTATTTGATTGCTGGAAGGATGGTGTGGGTGATACAAGACAGGAAGAGCAGAGACTTTGAAGACACCTTTTATCCCTTAATCATTATGGCCAAAGTTATCAGAATGACCCAAGGAAAGTATCATCCAAAGGCTTTTAACAACTAAGCAGAGAAAATTGTTGATAAGGCCTTCTGGGGAGAGCAGGCACTTGCAGCCCAAGGATGGCTGAATGGCAGGAAGCCCAAAGGCAGGAAGTGCAAGGAAAGTTCTCCAAGCAATGTTTAAGTATGCTCTTCCTCCCTCTTCTCAGCTATGCCACAGTCAGCACTGCAAGGTAAGATGCTACCCTCCAAGAAGAACAGGGACAGGTGAGGATGCCATAACCCGTGATGTTTTTTCAAGCTGCTTCTCTATGCTGCAGAGGCAATGAACAGGAGAAATGAGAGTTATTCTTTCCATCTTCTCTGTACTCTGTCTACTTTGTCTTTACAGATGGCTTTTTGCAAGTAAAATATTTTTCTTTGGCTAGTATGTCACCTGTAACATATGCTTCTATTTCCCAGTGTATGTCTATAGAAATTCTTTTTATGGCAAATTTTTATATGGGGTTTAATAAATCTGTGGTTATAGTAAACACATACACATACCCAAATTCAAAATCTTTCTAAAATAGTCATGTGTAGTTATCCATACCCATGATTTATAGCTTCATTCTTGAGAGAGGAAGTATGGAAGTTTGACAAAATGTTGTAGGGTACAGTGAAAAAGAAGGGGAAGTTTCCAAAGTCGTGTTTTGTCTAAAACCTCACTCTAAAGTATCTATGTTATGTAATTTTATCTATCCCATAAACCCAGAAATATTCTATTTTCGCATGTGAGAATGAAGTCTACTTTAATGGATTTTGAAGCACGAAATGACCATTTTCATGTCATCATATCTAACTTACCTTTATTCCACAATTTAAAAATGAACAGTTTCAGAATTTAAGGCTATCACAGAAGATTTTTTTCAATGAAGATATATCTTGGATTGGATATATGAAAGGGAAAATATTCTGTGCTTTTGTTACTTATCGTATTGCCTACCTGTCTTAGCTGAATCTCTGCCTATGGTGATCTTGTTTAACTTTGGAAACAGGATCCCTAAAGCCATGACTCCTGATGATCTAAAGTCCCTCTTGAGGTATCCCAGACAAAACTCATTGATCTAAGATGGCTTCCAGAGTGACCATAAACAAACTCTAACATCAATTTAATCTATTTGCATTCAAGTGCAGACCCCTCTATGCCATGCAGTTGACAATTTCATGAAGAGGATCACAAGGGCCCCTAAAAGTAGACAAAAGATGGCACTGAATTCTTGGAAAAATTTGTCTATTCCTGGAAAAAATGTGAATATCCCTTCCCCTATATTAGCCATCCTCCCCTTAATTTACTTTATCCTGTATCTATGACCTCTCTAACTTTCAAGAATTCAGAGGCTGATTTATGAGCCCCACACCTCCACGTCTGTCTTGGCAGAGAAGGAACAGTCTTTTATTTATCAGTCAGTCTTCTCTGTTTTATCTATTGGTTCTACACCTCTGAAGGGATGACAAATATATTCAACTGGGGTAAAAAACTGGTAAATTTTTAAGTGAGAAGACAATTCAGATTTTGAAGAAATCAGGTTACTCTCCAAAGATTTATAGTTCTTTCTGTGGGACTATTAGTGATCTGTAACAATGAACTTTGCTTCCTAAGCAGGGCACCTAAGTTGCTGGAGTGGTACCTCTGCATCTATTTTGATCTCAGGCATGGTGATCCATGACCACTGGGCTGGTGTGGTACCACAACCCCTGTTTCTTAAGTGACAGTGATTAGTAGAGCCTCCAAGGGACACACAAATTAATACACACCCAGCAAACAATTTTAGTTTAAGTTTGCTGATGATATTTGAGATGTGGTCCAGGGATGTAGGCCAGAATAGCTTTGAACTCAAGATCCTTTTACCTCAGACTTCCAAGTATGCAGATTATAACTTTACAATACCACCCTTGGCTCAGAGCAAGTTTTTTTGATTTTTGATTACAGAGATTTAGAAACTATTTACAAGTCCAGTATATTTAACCTATCTCTACACACGTATATTATAATATCTATATGCCATGGTACATAGTATTTTTTTAAAAAGAGACTTATTGCTATTTTATGTGTATGAGTATTTTACCAGCAAGTGCATACCTAGTGCCCACAAAGATAAGAAGAGGGCATCTGATGTCCTGGAACTAGAATCACAGATATTTTTGAGCTGCCATGTAGATGCCAGGAACTGAACCTGAGTACTTTGCAAGAACACTTAATACTCTTAATAACTGAGCCATCTCCCCAGCTCCATGCAGCATAAAAAAATCTAGAATAACTTGTGTCATTTTCCCTAGAATTTATTGTTATTATTTAATTGTGAGAAAATATTACACACAAAGTAATTAACCAAAGAAAGAGGTAAATTTTTTTACATGTTTTTTTTTTGTTGCTAGCAATTTAAGGGCATATATATTGATTACAGGTCAATATGGAGTCTAAAAAATATATACGAGCTTCTAGAATCTGCCATAAACACATGGATTCATTATCACAAAGTCATCAACTTCCTAATTGTCACAGAAGTATACATTTAGTCGTTGTAAAGGTTTTTCTTCATCAAATTTGTTTTTGTTCGCATCTTTGCCTTAATAATATAGTGCAAATAATTTATTTGCATAACAGAAGCAGATGCAATACTAATTTGATGTGTATAAATTCATGCTTTGAAATCAAAGGATGTTTCTTAATTGGTACAATATTATAAAATATAGGGACATGAAACTCTAGAAGTAGACTATAGAAAAAAATTATTCTGATAAAGCAGGATAAAGGGTGACAGGCTTGGGGGAAAATCTAGGAAGGATAAAGAGGGTAACAAGGCAAACAGAGAAGAGAAAACTGCACGTTAACAGTTCAGTCAAAAGAAAACATGGAGGGAGAAAAAATCTGCTGAAAGCTTCTGAGTTAGGCATGTAGACTTTGAGCTGTGAAAACCCTCTACGTCTCCTTAGAATCTTTGGAAAAGCCTATCACAAACCAGGAAATCAAAATGTTGATTTGCTGGATTTCCTGTGTAAAATGATGATATCAAAGGCTCTTTACCAATTGCTGATGAAAAGCAGCATGCCCAGGTGCAGGGATAATGTGGTTCAACCTGACAAATTCCTGTTGTAAATGGCATTCATCAAGAAAAGGCAAAAAGACCATACACATTACCATAGATTCCATTTTGTATGCAATGAGTTTTCCCAGAAATAAATTCCCGAAGCTCTAGGAGCAACCGGTTAGATGACAACACTTACTGCAAGGACAATCTGGAGGGAGCTATGAGCCACTTCTATGTACTGGTACTCCAGAAAACACCCTGAGACAGTGATGTATCGATGATCTTCTGGGGCCCAGTCAGGGGCTGGTGTCACCGATGTCACCATACATCCCGGTCCATTCTCCATCCACCAAGATCGGTGCATTGAAATATTGAAAGTCAGGATAAGGTCTGTTTCCTGCAAGAAGGCAATTTTCAAGGATGAGAAATACTTTGTGTTAACTTATTTGGGACTGACTTGAGTTTCCTAATTGGAAATGTGGGCCTTCCCTTCTTATCCTATATTTTATAGGCAGAAAAGCAACATTTAAAGTAACAATTTGCATATGGATTCTACTTTGGATTGTTCCTCTGATAATAATAATATACATTAAAATTTTTGTTAGAAAAATTGATTTATATTAACTACAATATTGAAGAATCTTTTGAGAGACTTGTAAATATCATGAAGCCAATGATTTACACCGAATCATCTGGTGAAATTGCCGCTGTTAAAAATGCTGCACAATTTTTTCTCTTTTGGATTATTTACTTTTTACACAGTTTATATCTCCAAACTATATTTCATTTGATTACATTTACCTTAATGTTGAGGCTAATAATATGATTTATAAGACCTTTATATAATACAATACAATATTACTTCGTTTTTCCCTTCCTACCATAATTGTTCCTCTCTATCCACAGGGAATTAGTTCTAGGACCCTGAAGATAACCAAATCCCAAGATGCTTATGTCCCTTATCGGCCCGCTGGTTGAATAAGGATGCAGAGCTTTCCAGTATAAAGAATAAATTGTGTTTCAGCAAATCATTGTCCTCAATCTTCAGCTTCTACTGTGAACTTGTTTACAATACACCTTACACAGTATCAGCAAATTCCTGCAGGGCGAAGATGATAAATTCACAACTCTTTAGATAAATTTCAGCACATTAGATGATACACAGTGTAAATGGAATGAAAGGTGGAGTTTCTATCATTTAGAGAGCTTATCATATACACCATCAAAAAGGCATCCGTGGCACTTGAACATATGCCATCCAGAAAGAGGACAGTGGAAGGGAATGAATCAAACATGTTCTATTCCTCAGCCAGACATGAGGGAAGACAAATTTTAAGAGACGATTAGCATGGGAACTGGAACTACCTCAAAATATAAGAAACATAGGGCACAAGAAATAACAAGTTCAAACTGCTCTTATGGTATATTGGTGAGGCAAATCCTGAAGAGACAAGCTTCATAGCTATGTTTTGTGACCTTGAATCACTCACTCACACTGAAAAATATAAAGACCTGAGTAATAGCTGGAGAATTTGGACAATGGAAGTGTGAGTTCACTGGCGGAAGCTGTGCTATGGATGTCACTATCTTCATGGTGGTGATGGGAGGAAGGTGGGTGAGGGTTTCTTTTTTTTCCTGAGACTATTGAGAAAGGCTTCAAGGATCCCTTGGAACCTGGGCAATACAGAACTAACAACTGACTCTGGCCTAACAGAATAATGTCTGTGGCTGGCGCCTTCTGCTGAGTGTACAAAGAAAACGTCTTTAAGTTTTTGAAAGGAAACTGCTTTGTTAAATATGATTGATGTCAATTAAAGACCCTTGGGTGCAGATATAATTCATCATGAGACAGCATCAACTTTTCATGCTTCCTATTGCTTTCCAAGAAGACCAAGAAGTTGCTAGGAGGGGACTCTGTATTGCTTCATATTCTTAGGCGTTTCCTAAGTGTAATATTTTTATTTCATACATGCATATAAAGTGTTTTTAATATATTCACCCTTCACCTCCTCAACTTCCCCAACTCCTTGTCCAATATTCTTAATTCTTTACTCTCTAGGAGTTCAATTAGGTGTTTTACATTTTCTATAGGGCACAGGTGAAGGTATGCTGGGGCTGTAGAAAAGTAATAGAAAAATGTTGGAAAACCTCTTAGTGCCTAGGAGTGGGATAAGTCCCACTCCAAGGCTTGGGTGCCCAGGACCACCTGTGGAGTCAGATCTTAGGTCTCCATCAAGGGAGATGGGAAATCCATTCTTGAGAATCAGTCTTCCAAAGACTAGAAACTGCAAATGACAGAAACTTCATGTTTCCATCATAAACTGAAAACAGAGGCAAAGTGACTGGCACTCACAACTTGAGACCTTGGGGGGCAGGGTTGTGTGGGATGCAGCTGAATACATTCAGAGATGGTTGAAACTTCTGTTGCTATCCTTCAATTTGCTGCACAATCAGCCCACTGCTGGAAGAATGTGGAACCATGGCTCACGGTTGCGTAACCGTAGCCCAGGCTCACGAGAGGAGACCACAGCTCCAATGCTCATGAGGGGATCATAGCTTCACTTCATAGGAGGAGTTACCACAACTCTGGCTCATGTGAGGTGACCACAACTTCAGCTAGCAGGAGGGGACCACAACTCTGGTTCAGTGACAAGGACCACAGCTCTGGCTCATGGGATGGGACAGCTACAGGTTTACCGGAGACCACAACTCCCGTTCACATGAGGGGACCAAAGCTCCAGCCCACGGGAGGGGAACACAGTTCTAGCTCATGAGTGGGGTCCACAGCTTAATTTTCATGGGAGGTGACCATGGCTCCTGGCTCATAGGAGGAGGCCACAACTCCAGTTCATGGTGAGACAATCACAGTTCCAGCTCACAGGAGACATTCACAGCTCTAGACTTATGGGAGACAACCACAGCTCCAGGTTCAAGAGAAGGGACCACAGCTTCAAGTTCATTGAAGGCAACCATAGTTACAGGTTCAAAGGAAGGGTTATAATTTCTATTAGGCTTGTTCCCACTGTCTTCCTATCTCTGTCCCTCTGACCACATGAATATACTTGTGTTTAAGAAAGAACATTTTGATTTCTGTGCATCAATTGGTGCCAAGAGTTACTCGCTGAATTGAATTTTTTGTTAGAGGGACATAAATATTGTGAAAAAAACCCAAACCACCTTTCCCTTTTGCTTAAGAAGAGAGATAGTTTGAATATTTTTATGTTTTTGTCTGTTAAAGTTGGGTGGTTTCTTCTGTTATTTTTTTTTGCTGTTGTTTGTTTTTTATTTTTATTGAGTTTTTGAGCATTTCATATAATAGATCTTGATCAAATTTAGACCTCCTCCCCCACCTGTGCTGCTCTCTCCCTGAATTTCATGCATTCTGTCATATATGTTAATTCCTATCTGGTCAAACATTTGTACCCAGGAGCCCCTCAGTGCAAGTTCATCCACTAGAATCTAATCAACCTATCTAGAGTCACTCCCTTGAAGAAGATATTCTTAGGATCTGAGGGAAGAAAAGCAGTAAGAACCAGTAGAGAAGTTGTACCAATGATCATGTACTTGCTGTGGGTGAGGTTTTAATGCCAGACAGTGCTTCTGAAAACTTCAAAATTACAATGAGTCAGTTTGATCATACTCCAAAATTGTTGGTACCTATATAGTTTTCCTGTCCCTTAAGTCTCCCTTTTAATATTCTGACATGGAAGAGTTGGAATAATAATTGCAAATTAGAAAAGAGGTGGTTATGAAAGACAGAAGACAAACACAAAATATGTACTTTTTCTTATGGGATGGAAGACGTTTAACTTTGAATGAAATCTGAATTTCTTATTACAGTGCTGGAAGCCACTTTCATTTTTTAACAGAGTAAGAAAGAAACATATATTATTGAAAATTCTATAAATACATTCATCCATCTGTGCTGGATAGCTTTAGTGTCAACTTGACACACATGGGTTGAGGGAGCCTCACTGGGGAATTGCCTCCATTGGACTGGACTGTGCCATGTCTGTGGGGCATCTTCTTGATTGTTTGAGTGACGGGGGAGGGCCCAGCCCACTGTGGGTAGTGCCACCCCTGGGCAGGTGGGTCTGTGTTGCATAAGAAAGCATGCTGAGTAAGGGCCAGAGTAGCAAGCCAGTAAGCAGTGTTCCTCCATGGCCTGTGCTCCAGCTCCTGCCTCCACGTTCTTGCCCTGAGTTCCTACCTTGGGCTCCCCGATGAACTGTGACCTTGGAAATGTAAGACAAATAAACCCTTTCCTCCCCAAGTTGGTAGTGACCACAGTGTTTTGTCACAGCAATGGAGAAACAAACTAGGACACCATCAATGTACATATATGCAAATATTCTTAACCAAGTAAGAAATGCTCATAACTATCACAATCCTCATTTCTCTAAATGATCACATGACTATAGCTATTCTTTTAATATTTTTTTGCAATTTTTGTGGACATAATCATATATGAGTATTGTCTTTGCATTGTTTCCATCTCTCTCATTGTCCCTTCTAACTACTCCCATGCCCCCCACTCCCTCTTAATTTACTGTCCCCTTCCTTATTATTGTTACATATACATGCATATATTTATAGATACACGTATACATGTATATATTTAGTCATGCTTCTGTGTGCCTGTGTTTAGGGCTGCCCACTTGGAGTTAGATAACCTCTCAGGGAGCTAGTCCCTAGAGAAAATGGATTCTTTCTCCCTCAGCATCTACTGATTGCCTATATCTCTTCATCTTGAGTGGGACCCCTTGAAATTTTCCCCATCCACATTGCATGTCAACTGACTTTGTATTATGCAGCTCTTAGGCTACTATGCTGTGGAGATTTCATTGCTGTAGCTTCCCTGTCGTATCTAGAATGCCTTAAGTAGCACCAGGTGTCTTGTCTCTCTAGCTCTTACATTCTTTCTGCCCCCTCTTCCTCAATGTTCCCTGACCCATAGTTGTAGAGGTTGCACTATAGATGTATCACTTAGGGCAAGGCATCCCACAGTCAATTAGTCTCTTTATTTGACTAGTTATGAAATTTCATAATAGTCTCCATCTTTTTCAGAAAGAAGCTTCCACTTCCATTTATAACAGTGATGATTTAGGGAACAATAGTAACTTTGGATGACTTTTTATTTGAAGGTAACCACAGAAACAGGAAGTCTTTCATGTATTCTATCCAGTTGCAACAAAGAACTGGAACTTTATCTAGGTTTGCAGGGCCAATTATATGATGAAGGAGTGTTTTCTGTTTCTTACAGTCTTCATCATTTAACCAAAGAAAACTAGATGAATCACTGGGGACTGTGAGGAAAAAGAAAAGGGCTTAGAAAGGCAATTAGAATGAGACTAAGTTGTAAGGGACTCCAGTCTTAGACTTGTCAGAAATAACAAA